GAGCTGGAGGTCTTTCAATTAAAGGCAAAAAGAAAATGGAAAAATCGTTTTATTTACATAAAAAGCAAAAGTGGAAAACATCTTATATACAAAAAAAATGTGAACACAGATGGTTGATATGTATATTTCTATACTTAAATTCCGTATGATCATTACATTATCTCTCAGTTACAAATGTAATGTGTTGTACAAACTTTCATGGCATCCCTAGAAGCGGTTCCATTATTATTACTGTTCCCGCAACTGACCATCGGCCAACAGTGACTTATCAACATCACGAACAAGATTCCATCGTGGATATTGTCGTGTTGGGTGTCCCTGTGAGACAGATGTCTGTCATGCTGGGCTTTCTTTTGAGACGTTCGTCTGTTGTGTTGGAGATTCCTGTCATCCACACTCCCTCACAGATTCGTTTGTCACTCGCTGTTCCACCATTCGCAGTCATTCGTATATCAATCACGTATATCCCTATATCAATCGCAGGTATCCGTATAACAATCACAGGTATCTATATATCAATCGCAGGTATCCGTATATTAATCACAGGTATCCGTATATCAATCGCAGGTATCTGCATATCATCAGCAGTCAACGGCACATTAGCCGTTGTTATTCGTAAATCACCGGTAGAGGTCCGTAATCACCGTATATTAACCGTAATTATCCGTACATTACCGGTAGTCAACTGTACTTTACGGAAATCACCAGTTCTCCATCGATAATCATCATTAATGGTTTTCTCAATCACTGGCAATAAATAGTCTGTACTAACTCTGCAGTTCGCATTTGTACATTAGTCGCTAACCAATCCCATCTTCCTAGCAGTCATCAATATCGGTGCAGATGAAGTTCGAGGACGTGTGAGCAAGAAATAGATTGAGCGTGTCGTCACCCTCAGCGAAGGTCGAGGTCAGGTGGTCAAGCTCTTCCTCGAAGGGTTCATCTCCCAGCAGACTGCCGAGCTCCACCGGCGTCGCCAGCACACTCTCGCAGTCTGACGTCGATCCGCAACCGGAGAAGTCGCTGGAGGTGACGGAGAAGGACGGAGAACTGTCTCCTATGGGTATAGGGACGGGGGTTGTAAAGGTTGCGCCCGTGATGGGACTCGGAGGGGAAGAACCTTCGCTGGAGAAGGCCGAATCGGCACTCGAGGAATCACTTAAATGTCTTCCGCTTCTCGGAAACTCCAGTAGTACGTCGTTTCTCACGACAGGGCTGTCGAGATCTTGAACGACATTGAGGGAAATGGTGTCGTTCTGAGTGAAGAACATTGAGGTGTTGTGTGTGTAGGGTCGACGTGGCGTGAAAGGTGTGGCGCCCACTAGTGGTTCTGGAATGTTGTGACCCGGTATGGAGGCTGGAACGTGCAAAAATTCTGTGCCGTAGGGCGTGAGGGCGAGTAAGGGCTGAGTGACGGTCACCAGAGGCATTAAAGGCTCTAGGCGAGGCATTTTCGTCTCTCGAGATGCTGAAAAATGTTCCATTCTGGGTCTCTTGACTGTCATGGACATCATCAACGGTTCATTGTTGGCGAATCTTCCCAGTCTATGTGGCGGTGTCTGAAGAGCAACATTCTTGAGAGTGATGTACGCGCCGTTGTTGGTCGCTATACTCGCTGTTTTGCACATTTTTGTTTTACATTTAGATTTGCTTGGCCGCTTAACTGAACCTTTTCCACCTATCACATTTTTAATTTTATTTTCGTTTATTTTCGTGACAGGGCACTTCGGTTTAGATATTTTATTATGAGTTTTGCTGTTAACACTACATTTATTACTTTTGCTCGTAGGACTGGTGGACATTTTGCTAGTTCTTATCACAGGTCTCACACAGTGCTCTGGTCGGGCCATATGAGCGTTTTCTAAACACCAGATTTCTCTCACGCCGTCAATATCCTTGGGACCAAAGCTGTCTTCATTAAGTACATCAGCGAGAGCGTTGATGTAATTGACGGCGAGCCTTAAGACGGTGATCTTGGTGAGTTTCTCAGCGTCAGCTCCAGGAAGATCCGGGATGGCTTTCTGGAGCGTGACAAAGGCGTCGTTTATCTCCTTCATTCTGTTCCTCTCTCTTGCGTTTGCTGTCTTGCGTCGGTACTTGCTGAGCGGCGGAGGTTTCTGCTTCTCCTTCGGCTCTCTCCTCTTCGACGTTGCTCTGTTCTTCTCTGATTCTATTCTTTTAATGATTGATTTAGTCCTTAGGGCATATTTAGCCCCGTTTATGTCATCCATATTCATCATCATTGAAAACTAATGATATATAAATATACAGATATTTTTTGATGTGCAAGCGTTCAAGTGAGTGTGACAATGTCTGTCGCAGTCGTCACTATCACGAAATACATCACCTCTCTCACAAGATCACACAAATCCTATACACACCCAAGTCCACAAGACCAGATTAAATACCAGATGCCACGAATCCACAGAGATTCCAGAGGGCAGATTTCCAGGAGGCCGCAAGTGGCAAGAGGAGTGAGAGCCGAACCCCACAGGTTCTTGAGGAGGTCGAGATGTTTGCTCAAGGGTATTTGTGTAGGCTACCGGCGCGCCCACAGCTCACACCTACCCCCTACAGTGACCCCTCTCACCCTCGCCAGGTACAAATCACCCTCGGAATTTATGATTCGCTCTTCCTGTGTAAATTTTTCCTTCTAAGACTCGTTTTTAATGAAGTCACTTTCTTATTGATGGTTAGTTTCTCGCGAGTTGTGGTTCAATTTCTACTTTTAAACGTCATACACTGGTTAGTAATAGGACATATAGCTTATATTAATTACAAAACTGATGATACTAGGCTATGATCGTAAGTACACAAATATTCCTATAACACAAGCATACAATAGTTCATATTTTATTAACCCTTAATGAATACAATTACCCACTTATATATGTATATATAAATAAATGAACTAATGATATAAATTATTTATCTTCAAAAATATATATCTAATCTATATGTAGGGAGCATCTAAAGCAATACTTTCACAATACAAAATTATACATAATAAATATGGCACTTAAGAGCCTACTAAATTGTATTTCAAATACAGCAGGTCTTTATTAGGTACTTCAATGTCTATAAACCTACAGGAAATGTGATATTGATTTCTAAGAGCCTGATAAATAAGTGTATCGAATAAGACCTCGTTAGCATTCACAAGTTACATTGTAGTGCTCAGTGGATGAGGGAGGAGGTAGGGTGCACTTGGAGTCTTCCCACTTACCGTACAAACAGTGATATTCTTTTGCTTACACAATTTTAGTTAACGTTGTATTTGCCAATATATAATTCTTGGTCTCGGTTTGCCACCATTACCTCACCACTTGTTGTAGGCGGGGGTCTCACAGAACGAGATTGGCTCTTATGGGTGATTCTCTCACTTCAGTGTTGCGGGTGTGCGTGGGTGCCTGGAATTGCCTTCGTTGGTGCCGTTACTAAACCTTCCATTACCGTGCTTCGAAATGAGGTTCATTTGCATACAGAGGCGATTAATATAATGTCTCTGAGGTCGACTTTAAAAAATAGAAGCAGTAGCCGCTGGTATATTTTCTCATTGACGTATTAAAACTGGTTTAAGTGTACACGAGTTTTTGCTGCTATAAAGAACTCGGAAGACTCACAGCTCAAAAATATTACACCAGTCTGTCACACCTTTCAGACCATCAGATATTAAGAGCCACTATAAATCGATTTTTTTTGCAACTCATAAATTCTTCAGTACTGTATTTTGGAGCACGGATCTTGCCCTTCTGTCACAACCTAAGTTTTGTTTCCTGTCAGACTATTCAACACCATCCAGAGTCGCTCACCACCATGCTTGATGTCAGTCCGCTACCGTTGGTGCGTCCTTCACAGCGTCACAGAGGTGTCCTTTTTCACAGGATGTCCAACGAGCGATAACATGGCAAGGCGGGCGAAAGTGAGTGTCTTATCTGCGGAGGATGGGCGTCTCCGCCCCAGATAAGGCAGCCTCCCCACCAAGCCACAACAAAGCCCTGCTGGGCCCGGCCTACGCCTGGAATGCGCAGGTGACTGGCTCCAGCCTCAAATATGCGTTTTGTTGAGGGTTAGATTGAGATCACCGGTAATGGAGATCATTAAGGGCATAAATGGGATATTTCAGATTAGTTAGACTCTGCAAGGGTTGGTTTGAAGAGGAGGAAGCGCGTGTGGTGACAAGAGTGTGGCCAGGGTGTCGGTTTACACGGTAAGGGCCTCGATGTGTCTGTTTTACGGGCGGAGTCGTCCCTGGCTGGGGGTCCTCCAGACTCGTTCAGTTAGGTAGCTGTATACATGGACGTGCTGAACCACCGCCAGCGAGAACTAAAGGGTAAAGATTACAATTTTTTGCATCTAATTTCTCACAAGTAATGCTCGTTGGGAAATGTAAAAACGTGAAGCAGAGTACAGACAATTGAATTTCCTTATCTCCTCGAGATTTCAAGTTCAGTTAAGAAGACTTGTTGACTACAGGATAAATAATTAAATTTATTCTTTTATGCTCTCAGTGTTCTCCATAAGCACAAACACTTCGCAAGATGCAGGTGATATGCATGGAGTGGGAGGTGGTGTGGTGATGGAGTCGGTGCGTAGAGGGCAGGCGTGGCTGGCGTCTCAGCAGGGAGTGGATGCTGCGGCTACATCAGCCAGGACCCCTGCTGTCTACAACTGCTGCCTCACGCCCTCATCACTCCACCCTCGTTCTACAACCACAATCGGATTTTCGACTAAGCAACGCTGGGTGGTGCGGCACCTTCCTGGGAGTCTCTAACGATCCCTCTATTATCCCTTTTAGGTGGTCGTCGCAAGTGAAGAGCTCCGTGGTATGAAATTATATCTTAACAACAAGGTATGGGAATGGCGGTGTGTTGGAGTAAGCAATGGGAACTCCTAAGGTTTTCTGGCTGGCCGAGTCTTGACAACACTGTTTGAAGATCTCGTAGAGGCCGTCTCAAGTTCACATTGATATGATTAACAATCCAGCCTCTGCGTCCTTCGTTTACTTATGCTCACTGGTGAAATCAGACCCACTGTTAGGCAGGAAAATTTCCGTGTACGTTTGTTGTTTTGTGTGTGCTAACCGAGCTTGAAATATTTGCTTAGATATTTTCGTTGATTATTACTTTTATTATGCAGAACCTTGCATATGTCCAATATCTTGTTTCTTCATTTACGAGTCCAAGATTGTCTTCGTGTACGTATTCCTGCGTCGTTGTCCTCTTTGCGTCTCTCTGGAAGTCGAACAGGCGCTAACAGCAGCTGCAGTCACAGGTGTTTGGGGTGGCCTCGTCTAGTTCTAGTCCAACCCGTAGGCGACTCCCATGCCTGGAAAAAAGACGAAGCAAGTATCAGTCAAGAGGTTTAGATCGCCCAATGTGACTCACACATCACTTGTGACCTGTGAGTCGCACTGGGCTTCAGCTCGTGTATAAGTCAACTCTCTTTGACGTTGAAGTGTCTCAATTAACATGTCTGCCATATATCTCTCTATACTCTTTATTATTATTATTATTATTATTATTATTATTATTATTATTATTATTATTATTATTATTATTATTATTATTATTATTATTATTATTATTATTATTAAAGGTGTAATAAACTAGATGGAAAGAGCTTTTAGTGCCTGCACAGATCTACAACACTGAAACAAATTACCATCTAATGCTGTGAGTGCAGACAATATACTACCTCTTAAAACAGTCGCATAAAACTATTTAAAAATATATATTTATCTTGTTACTTGTGTCCATGGGTGAACATTTTGAGCATTACGTTAGTTTATGTTTCTTCGTGAAACCCTCTAAAATACCCATGCTTAATGACTGAAAAGATCGTAAAGGGGAATTATTAGATTATCATCTGAAAAGTTTATTTAGTTAGCACACTGTCCTGTGAGTTTTAGATCTCGCCAGCCATGGGTTCGATCCCAAGCCGTAATTTTTTTTAATTGTGTATTTAGCCAGCAATTGTATTTTTTTTCTATTTTTCTTGCAGTCCTGATCAAAACAGCCTTGTTGGCCAACTTACTAACTCAACCTTTTACAGCTTGCTGTTCTTCCTCATCGTCGTAATACAACCCTTAATACCACAACAACATTTATGTATTAATAAGGAAAACCTATTCTTCATACTTTTTTTTTAATTAACTGCCTTCATGCTTTTAGCCCATATATCGCAGCCTAGCATAAAGACGGAGTCATCTTTATAGTCGAAATTCCTGTGCATCATTCTTCTGAAATTGGTAATGAACAGCCATCAAACTTACCGAAGAGTATTATAGAATATTCCATATTAAAATGGGCTGAAATATAAATTCCAAAGTAGCGATAAGCTTAATATATTGTCTAATAAAAGTGAGGAAAATTTCCCTACCTAATTCTATAATGTTCTCTTTGTAAGGTAGGAGGGAAAAACACCCACTTTCAGAGATTTGCAAACTGTCAGATAATTTTAGAATCTGTCATATTAATTTTCAGTTATAATAGCTACCCTTACCACTGCCCGCCCTCAACCACCGCCCGCCTCCACCCACCGCCCGCCTCCACCCACCGCCAAGAAAACGTGATCCACTTAACAGCCTAACCAACAATTTTGAAACATTCTGGACTCGACCTTGTTAATAATTCAATTAATTATCAAGTTTCCTCTTAAATCAGTTCTAAATTACGAGACACCCAAGAAAATTGCTAGACGAAAGTTGAAGAATTAGGGTATTTAGGGACTGGAGGCTTCCTTGAAGGTCTGTTTTTTTAACAAGCCAGTAATCAATGTTAATTGAGATATACTTAGCTTTTTTAAAATGTTACTATAGAACAACGGAAGCTCGATAACACATTATAATACAAAATGCCCAATTTTTTATGTTTAAGATGAGCTGTGTTTTCTTGCTATGGAAAAGTTATAGAAATTGATGCTCTGTATTATTGATGATGACAGAAGTAACAGAGGGAGATGTAGAAACAATGTTGACAATGTTGTCCTGAGCAACAAGTCCAAACTAGAGGTATATGAGACCCTTGTGAAACATTGGGTGACTTTATTCTAGAAACGTTTCGCCAGCCAGTGGTTTCTTCTGTCCAATGCAGAGAACGGTGAAAGATGAGGAGGGGGAGGATGAGTTTGAGATAATCAGTCCTTACGCCGGGAGTCGATGTGTTCAGTCCACCGATCTTGATAAAAGTGCAGCATATTTGTGAAGGTGGGGCTTATACAGCGCAGACAGACCGGGTCGTTAAGGCCACGCGAGACTCCGCATCAGGAAACACTTGTCCTGTTTCCTGGCAAACCTTACAACCAGCCTGAGAGTCAGGACCACGCCAGACAGTTCTTAGGATAACAACCAGACTTGACTGTCAAACTTACACCGGGTTTCCTTATGTATTTATGTGCTAATGACCTTTCGTCAAAGAGAGAGAGAGAGAGAGAGAGAGAGAGAGAGAGAGAGAGAGAGAGAGAGAGAGAGAGAGAGAGAGAGAGAGAGAGAGAGAGAGAGAGAGAGAGAGAGAGACCAGACAAGTTGAGCCCAAGACTGCTGAGATGTGCAGACCAGCTAGCAGCACCTCTAACTCGCATCTTTCAGCACTGCCTAGTGTATACAGTGTAAATGGCCCTCTCTGTGGAAAGAGGCAAATGTAGTCCCTGTTCACAAAAAGAAGAGCAGAGCAGAAATCAGCAACTACAGACGAGTGTCACTCATGTCAATCACTGGTAAGATCGTAAGATCCTTGAGATAATAATCTCAAAACAAATGACAGAGTTTTTTTACTACCACTCACTACTTTGTGATCGTCAATATGGCTTCAGGAAAGGTTACTCTGCTGCTGATCTGTTGTTAAACCTCTCCACTAAGTGGCACCAGTCACTGGATGAATCCAAAGTCAGCTGTGTGGTAGCAATGGACATTGCTGGTGCTTTCGACCGGGTGTGGCACCAGGGCCTCTGAGCAAAACTTCAAGCACTGGGAATTGCAGGCTCTATGCTATGTCTCCTCAGTGATTACCTTCATGGTAGATCTCTAAGTGTAGTTCTCAATGAAACGGAATCAGCAAGACATCCTATTGGGACAAGTGTTCCACAAGGAAGCGTGCTGGGACTATTGTTATGGCATATCTACTTCAACGACCTTCTTCATCTCATCCCAGAATCCCATGCATATGCAGACGACTGTACACTGACATTCACTTATCCAAGAGAAGAAATACCAGCTGCTCTAAGCTACATCAATCACCAGCTAAGAGCTATATCAGCTTGGGAAAATAGATGACAAGTAACATTTGCACCTGAGAAAACGCAAATGATGATCGTCTCTAGGCACCATGATGGCAATGCTGGTGCAGTAGTAAGGATGAATGGAAGGGTGTTGGCACCTAGAGAAGAAGTTGATATCCTTGGGGTGAAATTTGACTCCAAACTAACCATGAAGAACCATGTTGTAAATCTTGCAAACAAGGCAGCCAGGAAGCTTACAGCACTTCACCGTATCTCGCATCTGCTTGACAGTAGGGGTTGCAAGATTCTGTACGAGGCACAAGTACGCTCACACCTTGAGTATTCTCCACTTTCTTGGTTTACCTGCCCCCCCTCTCATCTGCGACTGCTTGACAGAGTAGAGAACAGAGCAAGACGTCTCATTTCTCACCTGGACCCATCCTGGATAGATCTGTCATTTCAGGAGAGCCTTCAACACAGGAGGGATGTGGGTGGCCTTACTGTTATGTACAAGGCCAATGTTGTCAAAGTACCATACTTGGAACTACTTCGAGGACAGCGTGAAACAAGCTTTTATGCCACAAGACGGGCAGAAAGCAGCAACTTCACTCTGGCTGTACCCTTCTCCAGAACATCACTCCATCTGAGATCATACATACCCAGGATGACTCAAGTATGGAACACATTCGTACAGCATAATGATGTCAACGAGATAAAGTCAGTTGATCCCATGAAAATGCTGGCCCACAGATGGCTCCAACTTCATCCTGTTCCCTACTTGTATGTCTCATAACAATAAAAATGCTTTCAAATGAGCTGATGTAGGTAACAGCTCTTAGCTTGCTAATAAAGTTAGGAATCTTTAACCTGTAAATAGCTTCTCAATAAAGCTAGGGATCCTAAACCTTGTCAAACCCTGTGTAAAAAAAAAAAAGGGAGAGGGAGAGAAAAGAGAGAGAGAGAGAGAGAGAGAGAGAGAGAGAGATCAAACATCAACCTGACTTCTTAACAGAACCTCACAAAACATGATGCTAAACTATAACAGCTGATAATGTGAGGGCCAAAATTCCTCATACAGTAATATTGTGAAACAGTTTAATAGACCGCTGATTTGTTATCGAAATCACTTTCGTTTTCAAACACTCTGTGTCATACCCGTAGAGTTATAACGATTTTTTTTTTTCACTAACCAAACATGTTACTTTTTTTTCGTTTATTTTTTGGGGTCTTTTGTTTTCCATCTCGCTTTTCGATAGGTGACGTCATCGAATAGTGCAGCTCATTCTTGCTCTGCGAGTGATAAAACGTTCATATTTGAACGTTTACTGTTTTTTTTTTTTTACGGCTACGGTGTTGCCAGAGATGTCCCGGGAGTTATTTTGATTTTGATTATTTGTGACCAAATGTCCGATTTTGCATATTTATGCGCCTACGATAGTTCGACATAGTCTTGTCTAACCGAAAATAAATAAAAATTTTGAAAATATGTAGGATTCATTAAGACACTGATATTGGGCATCACGTTAAAAAAAATCGATGTAGGAAAAAAAATGAGGATATATTCAACACTGAGTGTGTGAACAACACCAACAAACACTTTTTTAAGGAACTTGGTTCAATATTAATTTTTCGTGCTCAGCCTCTCTCATCTTCATCTTGCTACTTTTCTAAGACAGATCTGCAGCTTTCGAGTGCCTTTAAAAGGGGTTACTGTTGTAGAACAAGAGAGAAGATACGACTCTCATAGTATCATTATTAGCTTGGAATCTCTTGTTTTGAAGGTTCTAGTTATCCAACTTTAATTTTCCTTGCGTTAGTGATATCATCACAGTTGTGATCATGGAATAAGAGCTCTTCTGATACTTTCTCTGCGAAGTCCCTCACAATCCTCTTTCTCTTTATTTAGCTGTTGGAATTTGTTTCGTACACCGTTCCGGTTTTGGATTCTTTCCTTTTTCTGTAACGGAGTAACTGAAATTTGTCATCATTGAACATCTATTCTTTTATGTGGTTGACTGGAAGACTTGACTGATATTAGTCGGAATATCTGTTGTATCCTCGATGACTGCCACTCTCATAAAAATTCTAGTATCGTCTACAAAGGATGATAC